TTTTTAGGTCACTCTTTTGCTCTGACTGCATTACACCCGTTTGTAATATGTGTCTTTACGACAACAATCACATAAAGAAGTCTGATTTGTTTAATTAAACAGCTCATGTTTTCACATTTATTGATACATAATGATGCCCTCATTGAATAAACAGTGAAAAAATACGGAAACTATACCAATAATACAGACAGTTTTCGGGATTTATTGTGAATACGATAAATCTAAATTCTTATCATGATTTTATTACGATAAATGATACACAATATGATAAATGCTCACCCCTAACAGAAGCCATCATAAACTATTGCCATGCTAGAGGACGGTTGTCTTTTCGTTCTAGTTTTCTTCGTTTTTAAATTTATTTTAAAAACATAAATCACAGGTGCTTTCAAGCATACTTTGTGTGAGAGGGTGCACATATTTAAACAGCTTGTCACTATTGGCTGTAATTAACTTAAAAAAATGTTCTCAATGACAAATGACTGGTTTTCCCCTCTGTGTCCTATTCTGAAAATTTGTAATAAACTCTTTGAATAAACAAATAAACGGGGGGCCCAACCTGGTACAAAGTGGCTGGTGAAAGTATCTGGTAGTTTAATGAAACAATTTTGAAAATGATGCATTTAAAGTTTTTGAATAAGAGCTTTGACCACACACACCTGTTTAAGGGAAGTTTAAAATGGAGCCTAATATTTCAAGAGACATGTTAAGTCCCTCAGACAAACTGTAAAAGTAAAATAAATAACCCTTCATATAACCTATTGCAGCATTTAATATTCATATTGTGACTTTCTGTCTTGTAGAGGAGGAGATCAGTAACATGAGAAGTGAACTGGATAAGTATGGTATTCAGATGCCAGCTTTCAGTAAAATTGGAGGTATTCTGGCCAATGAGCTTTCTGTGGATGAAGCTGCTTGTGAGTCATTGTTGCTTTTTAAGAATTTAATGTCATAATAAATTATCTATGCGACTAAGACTAATTACTTTAAATACACTTCTGCTGCAGTACATGCTGCTGTGATTGCCATCAATGAGGCAGTCGAGAGAGACCATGCATCGGTGACAATGGGAGCGCTACAAAATCCCAACGCAATGCTGAGGAACACGCAGGAAGTCCTGGCTCAAGGCTACCAGGATACACTGAAGCAGGATAAGGCTCGGAAGCGGGATCAGTCATCAGGAAGGGTGAGAAGACAAACCTTTTACCTGATTTCATTGTTTTGTTTCGTAGCATTGTAGGTCTTGCTGTAAAAGATAGAAAGTGTAGGTGTGTAACTTCTTGTTTAGAAATAGCAGTGCTTATCAGAAATGAACTAAATTCGAATTAAACTCTAAAGTATATGAATCTGAACATTTAAGAGGAAACCTGTAATTATTTTGGCTTACCAGTAGAAGTAGAGTGTTTGTCCTGCTGTGTCAGCTCAATTTTTCTCCAACATAGCCCTTTGAATGTTTACTGACTAGTTCTAAAAAGGTTAATGTTATAAACATTTTTCTCATAAATCTTGTCAGTTTATGCTTTATGGAACCGATTAGTTAAATAGTAAAGCAAATCCATCTGAAAATACACAAAATACAATTACCGTACTTCTTTCTTAACAGTTGACATTATGTCTGCTTTCCATGGACTGAGTGCTAATAATCTTACTATACAAACATATATACCTCTAGATATTTTACTCTAAAGTCAAGTCACAAAATAAAAACTAGACAAAATTCACTGTTTTAGGCCAAATAAGTGATTTTTTTTTTAAATGAATTATATGAGGGATCGCATAATTTAACTGAAGTAGTTCTTCACTCCACATCCTCTGCTAGCACATTCCAGTCTCTGCAGTGTCAGCTGTATTTACCAGACTTTAGACCTCCACTGTGCCTCCCGTCTCTCCTCCCACTCTCTTTACAAATACTGTACAAACAGGAACTTTGCATTTTCTTCACATGACTTCAGATGTGATATGTGAAATATGAAAGCCACTGCAACTACATGTGAACTACAGTTTATGGAACAAATGTATAATAAATGTTAACCAGTATATATTTTTATTTTCTGTGTTAGCGATCCTCAGTTGCCACAGAAGAAAGAGATGTTTATGAGGAGCTGCTGACTCAGCAGGAAATCCAGACTTGCATTGATCGTGTCAACAGTAAGGCTGTGCACACATGACATGCTTATGCTTCCCAAAGCATTCGTCTTTGCAAGAAGACATTATTCCCATGTATAAAATTGATCTACTTTTAAGTGAAACACAAGAAAATTTAATTGGATGATTTTTTTTTTTTGTTATGTAAATGTTGAATGAAAAGTTTTTGTGCATAACTAAGTTTTGTCTCCAGCCCAGGCAGCAGTGCAGAACGTGAATGAAGCCGTGTTGCTCCAGGATGAAGCTGCTCTGCTGGCTGCTCTCAGACTTGAAGCCCTGTCCCTGCTGGGGGTCCAGGATGCAAACGGTGGCTGGTATCTGGAACATTTTACGACTTACATCCAGCAAAAGTCAAAGGTACAATTATTTTTGAGTCATTTGCTGAAATTATTGCATTTTTCAGAAGTCGTCTTTGTCTGATTTTTATTTTTTTAATTGCAGTTTTTAAAGACACTGCAATAAAATAGTTGATGGAAGTTGTTCACTATGACCCTGAGTACTGTCATTTGGTTAATTAAGTTATTGTTAAGATCTATGGGGAAAAAAATGACACACTTTTATCAATTTCATTGAATAAATACCACTGATTTGCAGAAATCATTAACTCTAGGGTGAAAGTGTGAACAATTCATAGCATAAAACATTTTTTTATTGCAGAAGCATAATATCACGGTGAAAACAATAAATTATACGTCTATCCATTTCTTTACCTGCTTCATTGATTGGCTGCATTTTTTTTAGTGTGGATACAAAAAAGGGTTACTGGTACCCCTAACACTTTAAGTTAAACATAACTACTTCAGATTTTTTAGATTATACCTTCCTTTATTATTTTAATCCAAGTTTTTAGAAACCTTTAATTTAACCAATGACTTTGTCTGACTGGGGTATAAATACAACCACAAACAGAGGCACATCACTTTCATCTGCCGCCTGCTAGGCTGGATGAGGATCCATGTTTATTCTGCCATCGCATAAGATGGGAGGGATGATGGGGAGCTCTGCATTTGAAAGCTTAAGCAAAGAGAGGCATCATATCATCCCCAAGTCTCCATAGTAACCATTAGAAGTTGTCTTCACATCTTTACATTTTTATCAAGAAAAAAAATATTCTGCTCCACTAGCACAAGTGTACATTTCTAAAGTTTGTTAAACTCTTGTGCGTCTGTGAGATAAACAGTTTGTCAGGTGACATGAAGATTAAAATGCTAGATGCAAGAGGGGGACAGACCTTCTCTTGCTGATTTAACAAATGCTGAATAATTGATTGAATTGTCTTACTAATATGTTTGAACCACAGAATGGAGGGAGGTCGGTCGTCCTAGACAAAGAAGAGATTCACAGAATTATCAGTACCTGCAATGATTTTGCTGAAGCAGAAAAACGAAGTGAGTCCAGTTCACAACTTACCCACTTTATTTCCTGGTGATAAAACTTAAAGATTTTCTCAATAATTGCTAAATACAGAAACGGATTTGATTCCTTTCTGTGTTTCTATGTGAGATTTAATGTTCACACTACAAGAATAGGTCCAAGTCCTTTTATTAAAAATTTATCTTTCTGCAACAATTTGCTGAACAGAACTTGAGGCAGTTGCACGCATCAACACAGCCATTCGTCTGGGCAGTGCTGTAGAGACGGTGGAGGAGCTGCTGCACCCTGAGGCGCAGCTGCCAATCGTCTACCAGAGTGCTGCTAACCTCTATCAGGCTGAACTGTTCAGTTTGCAGCTACAAGGAGGACGGGTGAGTTTGAGTTTAATACTGCAGCTCAAGTGCTAAAACACTGTTGCGTTTTAATAGCTTTTCTTTCGTTTTTAATAAAAGGCAGAGTGTTTTTCAATGATGACCTGTCGTTTGTGTCTTAACAGTCTGGACTGAGTCATGAGGAGCTCAGCGTCGCTGTGGAGATGCTGTCGGCCGTCGCGGTCCTAAACGAGGTGCTGGACACCAAAGACCCGCAGGCCGTTATTGAACAGCTGACAGACTCTCCTCTGGGCTTCACAAATATAGAGCATGACAACCTCAACAGGTACGATGGACGGGAGTAAATTACTGTGAAGTTTGTTTTGTCAGGAAGATTTCTCCGAGGGTGTTATTTTGGAGATCAGTAGAAGTTTGCCAACCCCTGGTTATAGTGGAAATGAGTGGATTTTAGAAGAGGGAGGAATTATTTTATGAAAAATGTTTTGGAACCTTTACAAGGATCCAAATATAATTTATGATTCCTCTGTGGAATCTATTTTAAATTCTACATAACTCTTCTTCGTAGGTATGCTGACATGCTAATTGAAGAGCGAGCTGAGACGCTTTCCAGGAGCCAAGAGTTTCTCACTTGGAATGATGTTCAGAAATGCATCGACATGGTTAACATTCAGGTCCAAGAGGAGCATGAACGTAAGAAATACTCATTTTTGGTCCTTGTCACAAAACGGAGCATGTTTTTTTTCTTTTAATAATTAACCCTTGTAACCCTGTGTTAAGATTGTTTTTAAGCATCCAGGGATATTTAAAAGAGAATAGACTTTGATTGTTGTTTTTTTTCTTTAAACTTTCAGGTATAATAGCTATTGCAGAGATTAATGAGGCCCTCAACTCGGGGGATCATCGGCAGACTCTTGCAGCTCTGCTTCTCCCTACAGCCAAGCTGACAGGAGTAAACCCGGCCACATCGAAGCACTACCATGATGTCCTTCATTATTCTAAACATCTTCTCTGCCAGGTAACATCACAACCACCTTGATCAAAATATTTGTTATTTGGAAACTGGCTTTTGAGGCCTTGAAGTTCATATGAAAGATTTAGCTTGGTGTAGCTTAAGCATGCAGGTTTTTAAAACTTCATCCACATAACTTACTGCATGAAACACATTGTGTTTTTATTAGCTGTTACCAGAAAATCATCGTCAACAGAAAGCTGGAAAACATCCGTCTGTGTGTATTTAATCTACATAATGTTTTTACTCAATCCCAGGCGTCCCCACTGGAATTGAGTTACTTAATTTAATACACTTTTTTGTATTATTGAAATTCATTTAATATGGCTGTATTACTGGCAAAATGAAACTTTACATATTTTTTTGTCACAATGATTGATATGTTTGAACTGTAGAGTGGTTTTCCTCTTCTCTCTTATCTACAGTACTCAAGCAAACAGTCTTTCTTCCATCCTGTTAGACAGAAATGTCCAGTGTCATGCTATAACTGCTGGCCTCCGTAGTATCCTATTACAAGAGATGAATTGTATCTCTGAGTCTCCTGTCAAGGAAAGGAGCATGCACAGGAAGGGATCCAGGCAACTGTGGAAACAGCAGAGACAAACTGCTAATCTATAGTATCCATACAGTGTGTCATCCCCACTGGAAAACAGGCGGATGTAGTGGGCAGCATGCAGAACGCCACTGGGGAGAAAACACACCAGGAAGATGATAAAAACCAGAGTGCTCACTCTGGTGAACAGTTTCCAGTCGCAGGAACTTTTCTCCAGGTGGTAAATCACTGCGACGTGGGTGTAAATACAAACCATGAACGGCAGTAAGAAGCCTAGAAAAACTAGGATCAGTTTGCACAGCACCAGCGGCGAATGGGAGGGTTCTTCTAGAGGAAGTACATCATGGCACGTCGTGATCTCCAGCCTTCTGATGTGGTAGCTCTGCGTGACCAGCAGCTCAGGCACAATGGCTGCTCCATACAGAAACCATACGACCACGCACATCCACACTGCCAGGCTGGTTTTAGCCATCCTTCTGTACAGAAATGGCTTGACCACGGCCAGATAGCGCTTCAAACTGATGCAAGCGATGGTCTGAGCCGAGCAGTAAACGTTTCCAAAAAATAAAGCCGTAATAAGCCGACAGGAGATTTCACCAAATATCCAGTTGTTTCCGCTTAGGTGGTAGTGAACTCGCAGAGCAAGAGACAGGACGAGCAGCAGGTCCGACAGGGCCAGGTTCAGGTACAGGACCACTGTGGATAAAGTCTTTGAAGTGAGTCTGACTCTGAGGAACGCCAGAATGTAGGTGTTGGATGGGATTCCCACGAGGATCGTTAGGATGTATGATGAAGGTATGATCCAAGTACTGATGGCCCCAGTGGTGTATGCTGCCGCAGGGCCCTCGGGCTCCACATCCAGGTGAGGGACGATGCTAGAGCGGAAAAGGTCAAGCTTCTGCATTGTGTCGTTAGATTTATCGAAGAATCCCTTAAAACTCTTTGGTGGAGCAGTCTTTCTCCCTTTCCCTATATTGAAAGAAAAAAAAAACATATCAATAGTTTAGTTTAAGTTTTATGAAAACAATCCTGAACTTGAAATTGTTGTTTTAGTCTTTGTAATTTCATGCCGTTTATGGTCTTTTTAAATCATAGATACCTTAAAGTTATGCACATCATTCCTACCCCCAGCAGCTTTAGTTGTAAAGTTGTTTTTAACTAAATTTGTTTCTGTAGGAAATACATCTCTCAGAAAACAGTAAACCATGTGAAAGAAATGTATATATATATTTTTACAAATGTAATTACTTACCATTGACCTGACTGGTCTGAGCCACCATTAAACATAACAGGAGTCCCCTCAGAAGGTTAGCCATAACGCTTTCAGACTGATTTCCCACGCTTCTCAAAGCTCTTGTTTTTGATGATGGTTCCCTTCAGCAGTTCTCCACTGGTGAAATTTGCTCTTCTACATCTCTGCAGCTCAAAAAGTTGAATCAATCGTTGTTTGTTCTCCAGTTCAGCTCTCCGTTTGTCTGTGTGGCTTGCTTACTGGTGCGTGATGTTGTGAACGCTTTTCCTGCTCTGGCCTGAAAACTGAATTCCCTTCTGCCTGTGTCAGGAACTTCCCTCTGACTCACAAAGGGTGTGGAGTGGCTTTGTGCCTGCCTATCAACAACTGTGAACAATAAGCAAATGACAATTTCTTTCAGCATTTTTTTTTATAAGGTTTGGGTTGTTTTAAAAATTTTCATTTTCATTTTTGCTGTTTATTATTGTTTCTGGACTATAGAATAATATGATCCTTTTTTTTGTGAAAGATTTAAAATTTTCCAATGGAAAGCAACACAATTTTGACCGGTGAATTTGGATACTTGCTGATCTCTCAGCTTTAGTCTCACTGTTGAGTTTGTTAAATTCAGACAAACAAACGGCATCTGTTGGCTGTCTTGCTGTTTTATAGCAGTAACTTCCTTTCTCAGGAATCTGTGGTCAAGGAATAATCTTTGACTCAAACAGGGGTCTCTAAAATTAGCCTGAAAGGAAACGGCCTCTAAGCTGTGTAAACAAAGTTTGTACTGGAGGGGATCAACGAGGAGTCATATTTTCTCGTTTTTGAGATCCCTTAGCTGATTATCATGTAGTTACTTTGATGTATATTATTTATGCAGTAAAATATAATCTGCTTTGTGCATTAAAATGCCATACCACAGATCAGAATTTTGTCACCGATTTCTGATCTCTGGTTTTTGTAAAGTTTTGACTTGCCAATACCAATTTTAGCAGATTGCTGTTTAAAAACGAGCTAAAAAAGAATTTATATTATTTTACTAGCATACCGGTAGTGAGCTCAAAAATGATGAAACTGAATAGCTTTCTAGTGGCCTGCTTAAAGTCTTGTACTCTATTGCTCTCTCTCTCTTTCTGAATACACAGCAGAGATGCCTTGACATGTTAGAAAATAGTTTTTTAAATGGCTTCTGACATTTCCTCTGACTCAGAATGAGGCTAAATCTGAGTCGTCTTTACTCAGTAACTATGTCAAGATGCTTCTGTCAATACAACTAGATTGTGCTCAGATGGTGCACAGACTGAAAACAAGTTTGGATATTTGAGTTTCCAACCAGCTGATCACCAGTGAAGGCCAGTTGAGCTGGAAATGGTCCGATTTGCATTTCTAACCTGAACAGAAAATTAATTTAGAGTTTGAAGTTTATTTGACTTAAAACCTTGTATATTTTTAATGAACTTGGTGCCGTTTGAAAACTGAAGTGACCTTTGAGCTTTTTTCTTATTGTAGAGTTCTGGAGATGAATCGGCAGTGCTCTGGTTGGACCAAATCCAAGAAGCTGTCCTAACAGCCAATCAGGATGAAGAAGAAGCCCTCACAAGTACATATCAGCAGTTTTGGGTCCCTCATGAACATCTAAACTAGTTAATTGATGGCTAGTTGTTTTCTGTGTGCCAGTCACACCCGAATGTGTACACTTAAGTTTATTTCAGTTTGGTTTTGATAAAATAACCAGCATATTTTATTGAGTTTTTGAATCTCTACAACAGTTAACAGCTTACACAACTGCTTCAAATTCTGGCATAAAATTAAATGTTTTATCCTAAACTTTTCTACACATTGGCTAAACATTTGTCGTTTTAAACCTTTTGTGTTCACGACTTAGCTTGTGTTGCTTCACCTTTAACATACCCAACCCTGTTTCCTGCAGTGAATTGGTTCTTATTCAGTTGACATCCTTCCTCAACCTGATCTACCTGATCTTGTATGTTTCTAGTGGCTGGAGCTGTTGCTCATATTAACACGACTGTGGAGGAGGGAGACTCCCAGAAGACCTTGCAAGCTTTGCAGATCCCCAGTGCAGGACTGAGAGCGGTGCATCCCGACTGCGCAGACGCATACCAGGCTGAACTGGCTCAGAGACAAACAGCAAATGCTAGTAAAGGTAAAGAAGCAGGCGTCATGTAGTAGAAGAAAATAAATTAAAATTTCCGCTAAGTTTAACTGAACCTTACAAAAGAGGTGATCTGTGCTAAGCAAAACGTAACCGTCAGTCTATGCCATGTTTTCTACTTCCTGCAATAAAAATGTTCATGTAAAAGAGACACAGTTTAAGAGAAAGCATCAATCTAACCCTGAATAAACAGGGCAAAATAAACTAGCAAAGTAAACGGTGAAAAAATGAAATTTGAGTAATTGCATGTTGATAGTTCTACATTCTTATGTTTTATACTAAATCGATGGATTCAAAGGAGATGAATTGCTCTGCCTGTAATTATATTTTATATTCAGTTTAAATTAATATTTCATCAAAACTCAATGTATTTTTTCATAGCTCTGGTTGAGAGCAGTAGAGTGTAAAAAGAAAAATCCAAAATCAAATCAACAATCATTCGAAATGCAAACAAAGGCTTAAATATCAAAGCTAAAGTCTGGGAAAATGTTCATAAAACCTGCTAGATCATGATTTTTTTAAATTCTCCCAGAACGTATTATTACAAATTTTACTCTGTGCTTTAAGTATCATCAGTTTCATGTTACCTAGATTTGTTTGGACACTATGTTGGGCCATGTTGTTATAACCTTTACTGTATCACCATGAAAGATGCTGATTGTTGGATAAACTGATCCAGAAGCAGTAGAAATTTGTGAAATATTGAATTATCTACTTTGCTCCAGGCAGCAGTGATGGAGTTTGGGTCAAACACAGCATCAAGGACAGGTACGACTACTTCTACAATCTGGAGACAGGGCAGGGCAGCTGGGAGGAGCCTGAAGGATTTGAACAGAAGGCAGATCAACTCAGCAAAGAAGAGATTCAGGTACAATTCTATGGTTTTAGCAACCAATAACATTTCACACAACCAAGTAAGGACACTTAATTGTTGTATTCACTAAGATTCAGGAGTGAGGCTGCTACTTCTGGCACTGACAAAACTTGTTTTCCTCCTTTCTGTCAGAGTGTAGTCAACTCTGTGACTGCAGAATATAACCGGGAGCAGCTATGGTTGGCAAATGAATCCTTCGTCACCCAGCTACAGGCGAGGATCAGAGGTCACCTGGCCAGAAAAAAGTATTTGCAGAGAATGGAGTATCTACGCCAACAAGAACCTCATGTAGTTAAAATCCAGGTAATGAAATTTCAGAAGGTAGAGCATGGACTATTTTTACTTTTATCTTTTAATATAGTAAAGTGTTCATGGACCAGCTGATGAAGCTCACATTTCAGCTTATGTTCGGTTTGTTGTAGGGGATGATATAATAAGAATGTATTTGTATTATTGTATAGAAGGCAATACGTCTGCTATTCAAAACTATTACATGCAGTGGCAGTGAAAAGCTTGCAAACACTTACATGGGCATGAATTTTATACCTTTAGGCATACGCTTCAACAATGTTTTTTGGAGGTAGATTGTATTGCTGTCTCATGGCATTTTTGTCTCCGACTATAAAAACACATGAGGTGTTTGGTTTGTTCTGTGGGCAGCTGCAAATTTAGGTCATGCTTAAATCTCTCCATTTTAGACCAAAATATTATGTTTTGATCTTCAGCCTTTCAGATCCGTGGTGATGTAAAACTGTCCTTCCTGTGGAAAGTGATACTGATGTTCCATATTCTCCTATTTTACTATCAGCTAGAGTTATTTCCTGATCCATAATTCGAATGCATAAAGGCCGATTGACATTAGTTTCTGGAAAAGCCCTGACCTTGATGATTGATCGTAATTTATGAACTTTGCTTCAAAGTTGAATCTGTGCAAACAACCTTAAAACAACCCTACCACTTCTGTTTAGAAGAGTTGTCATCCAAATACCCATCTAAAATTATTGTGTACAATAAATTAAAATTGATTCAAGTATATTTATTGACCATTTCACCCTGAAAAACATTTGACCCATAACGAGTGCATGTAAACCCTTTTCTGATACAGTTGAGTTGCCATCTCCGAAACTTGTAAATCCTCATACATTTGCTGACCATTTCACCACATATACATTTTATATTCGTTGCATTTTAAACAGATTTGATAAATTGCGTTGGCTTTATATAGGTTTAAAAAAGACCTATAACATTAGGAGTGTTTGTCCCTTTCCACCTTCGCCAGCTGATCATGTGATGCCATTTATTAAATAATTGTTTCTTTTATTTTAATGCATCTTTTTTCTATTTTTAGGCTTGCTTCAGAGGTTATAGACAGAGAAAAATCTACATAGCTAGGATCAATTTGCTTCAGAAAAGTGTTGCATCTGTGGTCAAGGTAATTTTTACTTTTAATAATATTGGCTTAATTTTTTATTTTTAAAATACATCCGTAATTAACTATGCAATTGCTAAAATAAAGCAAAAAAAAAAAAAACTATACCAGCAATATCTGTATGGCATCAGATACTTATGACTTAATAAAAGTGTACTTAAATAAATAATTTTCCAATAAACCTGACGACATATTTTACTGTTTTCAGATTCAATCAATAGTGAAAATGTGGAAAGCAAAACGCAAGTATAATCAGAGGCTGCAATTCTTCAGAGAGCACGTGAGCGATCATAGTTCACAGATGTGTTTTTGAATTTCCGTACATTTTTCCTTCTGTTAATATCACTCTGCTCTCTCTGTGTATAGGAAAAAGAAATTGTGAAAATCCAGGCTTTCCTAAAGGCAAACAAAGCAAGAGATGACTACAGAACCCTAAGTGAGTCAATAATACATTTATACTTTTTAATCACGGCACCTTGTTTGCCACTGCAGCAGAGCTGTTTGTGATGTTAGAAATACTTTATTTTTGTCAAGGTTCTTAGTTACATTCGTATTTTCTTGGTCTAACTAAATAAACATGAATATAAAAGAAATCCCAAGTGGTTCTGGATGATGTTGTAGATACTAAAGTATTTAATATACAGCTATATAAAACATCTTGAGTAACTGTGAAGCAAAACCTATTCAAGGTTTTTATTTTTGGGAGATTCACATGGTAGAATTGGAGCTTTAAGATCTAACACATGGGATCAATTACTCAAATTAAATGATCAAGTATGTTCTAATGTTTTCTTACACTTGTAATTCTTTGTATGTGAAACATTAATAACAGTAGAACCACTAAAAGGGAACCGCGGTTCTTGTTTTAAACATTTTAGCTGGAGCCAGTGATCCTCCGCTGTCGGTGGTCCGAAAGTTTGTCCACTTGTTGGAGCAGAGCCCCCTGGACCTGCAGGAGGAACAAGAAGTGACTCAGCTCAGGGAAGAAGTCGTCACAAAAATCCGCTCCAACCAACAGATGGAGAAAGACTTGAATCTGATGGACATTAAGATCGGACTGCTGGTGAAGAACAGGATCACCTTACAGGTTGAGAACTTTTAATGAAACTGTTTGGATAATTAGACTTATGTACTGAAGTACAACATGTATTAATTTAATGTATTTATTATACAGGATGTCATTTCACATAATAAGAAAATGAAGAACAAGAAAAATAAAACAAGCAAAGACGACCAGACGGCTGGAGACGGGCTTGGGATTAAAGGTCTCAATAAAGGCAAAAGAAGGAAACTAGAAGCTTACCAACATCTCTTTTATCTGCTGCAGGTATGGTGGCTCTGCAGCTTAAACAAATTAATTTGAATTATGAAAAAGCTTACCTTTTCTCTATTCAAACAAACTTATTTTTTTAATCCACCACTCTGTTTCAGACGATTCCCTCCTACCTGGCTAAACTGATCTTCCAAATGCCTCAAAACAAATCGACAAAATTCATGGACACAGTGATCTTCACTTTGTATAACTATGCTTCCAACCAAAGAGAGGAGTACCTGCTGCTCAAGCTCTTCAAGACTGCACTGGAAGAAGAGATAAAGTGAGAACTTTAACTCTGGCCTAGAGATCATAATTTCAAATTTGCAGCTAATGATCCTCATTTATTGAATGTGTGTACTAAAGTAGTTTTATACCAACACAACTAGATATTAAGCAATATCTGCAGAGACGTTGTGTGAAAAGCTGCATCCCACATAACAGCTATCATTTATTGGAGTCACAAAATTTGTGTGGGTTGGGCGCATGAAACTGTGAACAAGTATCAACATCCATTTTGTCATACCTTCTGATTAGCCACTAAATTCACACAAATCCTTTAATTCTTGTTTCTGAAGCACAGTTTCTATCGAGGGTCATTTTGTGTTTGTTTGTCTCAGTTCTAAGGTGGATCAGATCCAGGACATAGTGACGGGGAATCCTACAGTCATCAAGATGGTCGTGAGCTTCAACAGAGGGGCACGAGGTCAC